ATGGCGGCTTACAACCTCTGTAACTCCAAAACCACCTTCTGGCTGTCACCGGGCGCCTGTGTGGCACACACACATGCAGGGAAAACACTTACACAACATAAAAAATAAATCCTAAAGGCGGGTTAAAAATAAAATAACCACACAAAGGGAGGAAGGGAAAACGAATCTGTCGCTAACTTAGGATGGCCTTTGGTTCTTTAAGCTGTCAAGGTGACAGCTTCGCACAGCTGAACAGTAACCCGCGGAGGCTGGAAGAAAAAGTTTGAGCAGCGAACTCAGCAGCTACTTCGCTGGCCACCGTCAATTCCTTTTTTTTTTCTTTAAGAACTCCGCTTCCAAATTTAAGTCAAGGACTACTCCGAGTCGGGACCTCGGGGTGCAGCTTCCCCGCCGTGGAGGGGGGGCGGGGGACACCTGCCACCGTGTCGCTGCAGAGGGCGCCGCGCGCGCAGCCTGCGGGCAGCCGCGGCCCGCGAGCCCGGCCCCGGGCGTCCCCGGCAAGGGCGGCGCCGGCGAGCACCGTGACCTTGAACCCCGCGGGTCCCCGGAAGGCTCTCCAGCTACGCCAGCGCTCGGCCGCCTGGGACTCCGAGGCCGGCCCCCGACGTCCCACAGCCCGCCCCGGGGACCCTGCGCCCTTCGCCCCACGGCGGCCCCTCCCCGGCCGGGCCCCGGAAAGGGCGGCGCTGCTCACCGGAGCCCGGGCAGGAAGCTGCCGGGGGCGGCTGGCCGCAGCAGGCCTCCTCCAGCGAGCACCACTCGCGCCGCCATCTTGCTCCGGAGCACGAAGCTCCTACCGCCCGGCTGTCGCTGACGCCGCCGCTGCCGCGACCCCTCCCCCGGCCGGGCCGACCAGGCTGGGGCGGGGCAGGGCGCTAGGCCGCTGTAGTGTGGGGGCGCGGCCGCTAGGGGGGGGGAAGCGGCGTGCTACTGCGGCAGCGCCGCGGTGCTGCCGCCAGGGGGCGCGCCGACCAGCTGCGGAGGACAACCGTAGATGAGCGAGCGCCCAGAAATGGATGTGAGAAAGGGAAAGTGGTCAGCGCTGGAGTGTGCAGGGGAAGAGCCACAAGAAAGGAGCACATTTGTGGATGGGAAACTCCAGAGCATGTTGGGAAGGTTGACGACGACTGGTATAGGGGAAAATGTATTCTGTAAGGATAATAAAAGAGCTACCACGAAAACTTCGGCAAGACAAGAGTAGGCAGAAACAGAACTAGATCCTGAGCACAGAAACGGGGAGCAGCCTGGGCCTCCGTTACCTCCAGAGGCCAGGGCTAGGCTGCAGAGGCCAAGAGGAAGACACTTTCCATGCATGGTTCTGGGTAGGAGGAGGGGTGGGAACTGATTCTGAACCACCTGTAATCTTGAAGCTCAGAAGGTGCAATTTTCTTCATATTTTATGTGCATTGGTGGTTTGCCTGCGCATATGACTGTGTGAGGGCATGGGACCTCTGCAACTAGAGCTACAGCCAATTGTGAACTGCCATGTAAGTCTTCGGAATTGAACCCGGGTCCTCTGGAAGAGCAACCAGTGCTCTTAACCAATGAGCCATCTCTCCAGTCCCCATTGGTACAATTTTCTAGCAGAATTTGAACAAAGAACAGGGGCTGGTCTTATGGGTGGTGGAGGCGGGTTCAGACTGGCAGAGGTGCTTTTTCCTTTGAATGTGAAGGAGGCCAAGGGAGTTTCATACAACTGTACTCCCAACTATGGACTGGGGCAGGGCCTCTTCAAGACGGTGAGCCCCATCTTTCTCACACAGATCCTCAGTTTCTCAACTTGCTTGAGACAAGGTCTTTCTGTGGAGTCCAGTTTTGTGATGATCTCTTTCTTGAGGGGTATTGAGCCTGGGAGAATGGAGCCTGAAAACGAAGTGGACTAAAGCTTCATGTGATATCAGACCATTTATACTCTGAGGGTTAAGAAGAATCACATGAGTTCAGTGTACAACCAAAAGGACAAGCCACACGTGGCAAAAAGGTTTTCCCACAGAGGCCTATAGCAACAGCAGCAGGCACTAATGAGTAATCTGAAGTAAACTCCTCTCTCTCCACTGCACCTGGGAGGGGCACCGAAGCACATTCCCGGAGCACAGTTGTGTTTTGAAGAAACTGGGGTCACAAAATTCTTGTTTTCTTGGGAGTTTTCACACAAACATTCAGAATTCCTCTGGCATGACTCCGTTCTTGGGCCGTGTTCAGACAGTAATCCCCTTGCCTGACCCTTCTGGTGCTGAGATGCCATGGGAGGACCATCATGCCCAGTTTACCTATTTATACTCACTTAAGCAGGGCCTCACTGTGCAGTGCAGGTCGGCCTCAAACTCTCAGTCCTCCTGCCTCCTCCCCTGGAGCGCTGGGATCACAGGAATGCCTTAGCAGGACTGATGTGACTCAATTTCATGTTAAGGGTTTCAGACCTCTCTTGGAACGCAAACTTGGCACCTGTGCATTTCTTTGCTAAGTCTGCTTTTGTGTTGCTTAGCATCAGCTTGGACACCAATGTCTCAAGGGTCTTAGAGATGCCTGGGGTTGGAGACCTGAGCGATCCGACAGGTGTCAGTCACATCCTGAGAGTACCATACACTTCTACCTGCCAGAGAGGGAGAGCCTCTAAAACTTCAGTTCTCAACCCGTGGGTCGAGACCCCAGGGGTTGCCTAAGACCACACATTTATGATGTCTTAGGAACTGAGATCCTGCTTCCCTATTGGTTTCCAGGCTGGTCTGCCCACAATATAAAACTGTACTAAAGGGTCATAGCATTAGGAACCACTGCTCCAAAAGGCTTCTCTTTCTATGACCTATCCTGGCACCAAGCCAAGAGTTTTTCCTAGGACCATAAGCTACCCCACCTTTCTGTTTAGGTTTTAGGATCACTCCTCCCACCTTCCTGGCAGCCTCTCCCTGACACATGAAGGGTTTCTCTGTGTAGCCTTGGCTATTCTGGCACCGCCCAGTAGAACAGGCTGGCCTCAAACCCAGAGCTCCGCCTGCCTCTGCCTCCCCCATGCTGGAATCACAGGTGTGCGCCACCACGCATGGCTAAACTGATGTTTAACTTCACAATCGAACACCAACTGTCATTTTGACAACCTTAAGTAATCCATTATCCTATCTCTAGGATGTCTACCTATATATAAAATGCCCCAACAATTCTATTCTGCTTCAAAAACTCCAGGTAGTGTTTTTTTTTTTTTTTTTTTTTTTTTGGGGGGGGGGTGCACACAGTGCTCATGGGGGCCAGCAGAAGGTGCCAGATCCTCTGCACTTGGAGCTAACAGTTTTGAGCTGCCAGGTGACATGCGTGCAAATGTTACTTAGTAGGTCCTTACCGCTTTTTCCTTGGCTTGACATACCCTCTCCATGCCTCTTTTTTACTAGTCTGCAGACTTCAACATTTCTAGCACTCTCATTGGTTAGGTTCTCTGGGCTCTTGCCACTTACCCTTCATAGGTCCTATTTGTCGTAAGGACACCTATGCGTCCCTCCCCACCTTTCGAGTCTGATGACCAGTGCCTGTCTGTGCTCATCAATGATACCTTTTATTGAGCTAGGCCTGGTGGCATATGCCCATTAACCCAGATGCTTGAGGTAGGAGGATTGTAAATTCAAGGCTCACCTGGGCTGTATACTGAGATGCTATCTCAAGACAACAAAACAAAGAAATACAAATTACGTATTAGCTGAAGTTAAAATATACCCTTTTTCTAGGAGTCAGACCACTCAAATACAAAGGCCAAAGTTTCTGCAGTTAAAAAAAAAAAAAAAAAAGAGAAAAGTTTAACTTAGAGCACTTAAAATAATGTGTCATTGTCACACTAATGAAAAACAACTCCACCTCAAATGCATAGAGCCCGCCAACTTTCTGGGCATAGTGGCTCACATCTGTGATTATAGCACTCGGAATTGATGGAGGATTGCTGTGAGTTCAAGGCCAACCTGGGTTAAAGTGTGAGATGCAGTCTGAAAACAAACCACTCCAGGGAAAGTGCTTTAACTAATTGGTGGTCAGCTCTTAAGAACTCATATAGCCTAGGATATGCATGGAATCTATTTATTATTATTATTTTTAAAGAGACAGTGTTTCTCTGTGCAGTCTTAGTTGTCCTGGACTCATTTTGTAGACCAGGCTAGCCTCAGATTCATAGCACTATGCCTGCCTCTGTCTTCCCAAATGCTGGGATTGCAAGGTATGCACCACTGCGCCCAGCTGGGACCTTAAGATTTTACTTTCCATGTCTCACTACTATAAATACAGCTCAATCTGACAGCGTTTCTTCTTGGGATTTGGTGAAAGCAGAGAAAAATAAATTTACCTTGAATATAAACTATCAAATCTTGGTGCCAACAGGAGGGCTAGAGAGATGGGTCAGCAGTTAAGAGCACTGGCTGCTCTTCCAGAGGTCCTGAGTTCAATTCCCAGCAACCACATGAGGGCTCCCAACCATGTATAATGTGATCTGATGTCCTCTTCTGGCCTGCAGGTGTACATGTAGGTAGAACACTCATATAAGTCTAAAAACAAACAAACAGACAAACAAAAAAACCAAACCTCGGTGCAAGATGGCTCAGTGGGTAAAGGTGCTAGCTGAGCAAACCTAGCAATTTGAGCGTGATACCTGGAATGTATGTAAAACTAGAAGGTGAGAACTGACTCCACAAAGCTGTCCTGTGACTGACATGGGTGTCATGGTACATGTGTCCTCACACTCATCATGGACGCAGACACACAATAAATTAAAAAAAAAAAAACTATCAAAACTTTGGAGTTTAGCCTTCGATGTTACTATCAAAAGGTTTTCTTTCAAAATGAAGGTACAAAGGTAAGTCCAAGATTTCTTGAAACAAACAAACAAACAACCCAAAAAACAAAGCAAAAGACAACAATGTGTATGATGTAGGATAGTGAGCTTACAAAATGATGCAGCACACACAGGCATCCCGTGAAACCTGAAAGTGCAGAGAGTCTGAAACATGACATAAGCCTTTACAGAACACTGTGTTTCATTTACTACTTTTAATATCATAAGAGAAACTGGACAGTTAGTAATGAAAGGCACAGGACAAACATATAGACAGAAATCCCTTTGGCTCCTTCTTCCCTAGGTTGAGACCTTGAGGCCTTCCAGGGTTTTGCTTAGGTGAGTGGTTTCTGAACTGAGTGGACTCTCTAGGTAGGCTGTTCCTGCACAGGCCTTTCCTGTGATTGGGTCGATAACTCGGCCAACTTTGAAGATGATCTCAGCCAGTTCATGTTTCACATGCTTTGTTCGTGGGACGGGCAAGGCTTTGAGGAGCACGATGTCCCCGACGCTGCACTGCTGGAGGGCATCATGGGCAAAGTAGGTTTTCCGCTTATTAAAGTACTGTTGAGAGAAGGAACAGAGCACATCAGTAAGCCCCATTTGTGACATGATGGTGCAGAAAGAACATGAAAGATCAATGTGTAGATGACAGCCAGGACTTGGCAATGGAACATGAAATACCTTTGGAAGCATCTAGTACCACACTTAGCTTAGTTTTTGGAAACTGGCAAGAGCTTTGCCAGAGCTATTTCTGAGGTATGGAAGTCCTTCCTTTAAATACTCTGGCTCTATCAGTGGTTATGTCTTTATATGAGACCCTTCCCACAGAGGCCTCCTCTTCAGCCTCCTATATACACTGCTCTCCTCACTAGCTGCATGAGTCCGCAAACCACTCCCACTGTTTCCTTCCACTACAGGAGGCCCTAAACTCGAAATAACTCAAGTTATTAAGTTATAAAGTTATTAAGACAAATATTATAAGAAGGCCAGGTGGTAGACGCAGCACATGCCTTTAATCTCAGCACAAGGGAGGCAGAAGTAGGTGGATCCCTGAGTTCAAGGCCAGCTTGGTTTACGGAGTGAGTTGTAGGACAGCCAGGGCTACATAGAGAAACTCTGTCTTGAAGAAAAAAAAAAAAAAAAAAAAAAAGGTTGCCCAGGCTGGTTTTGAATTTGCAATCCTGTTTCTGCCTCTTGAGAAGCTGAGATGACAGGCCTGATGCTACTGATTTTGCTCTTATAGGATATGTTTTATTACACTTACTTTATCTATCACAGGACAGATGTGGCAGTCAGAGGACAACTTAACGGTAGTCAGTTCCCTGCTTCTACCATGTGGGTTCTGGTCAAAAACAAGTTGTCAGGCTTGGTGGCAAGCACTTTACCTACTGAACAGTCTTGTCGGCCCGTTTCCTGACTGTGGATCGTGACCAGCATTCCTGACTGCCTGGGAGTCAAACCTGAACACAGCAACAACCCCTGGCACCTGCCCCTCCCTCCCTATTCATCTAACAAATCAACAGCTCTGTGCCCCTGAAGTCTACCTTTCCTGATTCCTGCCGCCGCCGCATTAGTCAGGGCCCTTATTGTTTTTACTCCACATCTTTGCAAAAATCTCCTTAGTCTCTCCTTATGCTGGTCTTATCTATATGTTAGTCTCATTCATTCCTTCATTCAGTTTTTCGAGACAGCGTTTCTCCATGTAGCCCTGGCTGTCTTGAAACTCACTCTGTAGACCAGGCTGGTCACAAACTCAAGAGATTCACCTGCCTCTGCCTTCCGAGTGCTGGGATTAAAGGTGTCTACCTCCCCACCCCCCACCAGTCTTTCCTTTATTTAAAGGATGAAATCACTACACAGTGGCCTGCTGGGTGTAGTGGTGCACACCTCTGGCAGAGACAGGTGGATCTCTGTGGGTACAAAGCCAGCCTGATCTACAGAACTGAGTTCCAGGGCAGCCGTGGCTACACAGTGAAACCCTGCCTCGAAACCAAACAGAACAACAAAGCACCAAGGACCCTTCACAGTCCACCTCCAACTGTCCTTGCATTTCTTAAACTCAAACACCAAACCCTGGCCTCAATGTGTGGAACCACCTGGTATTTCTGCAGGAGGCCACCTGCCATCACAGCTAAAGGCCCACCACCAAGTATTCATCAGCGCTGCAATGACTTTTCACCACCAGGTCCAGAAATAAACCATACTGGAGGGTCAGCTCAAATATCTCTTTACTGAGATGGTCTCTACAGCAATCTGGGAGGAAAGAAGGAAGTCTTGTCCCCTGTTCTGCCCAGCGAATGACTACAAGAAATATCAGAGTGAACTTGAATGAACTGCATTCCCAAAATCCTATGAACCAGGTTACACCTAAAGGCCAGCGGCATCTAGATTGCTGCAGATGTCCAATTTCTATCAACAGGGAAATGCTTTTCTGTTCAGACCCAAAGGCAGTGGTTCTCAACCTTCCTAATGCTGCGAACCTTTAATGGAGTTACTCATGTTGCGGTGACCCCAACAGTAAAATTATTTCGTTGTTACTTCATAACTGTAATTTTGCTACAGTTATGAATGGTATGTAAATAACTAATGTGACCCTCAAAGGGGTCAAGTCCACAGGTTGGTAACTTATCAACGCCACTGTAAAACAGGCACTGACCCTCACCTTTAGTAAGTACGGATCCAAAACAAGTCTGGTTGCTCTTACTTTAGCAGTTTTTACCATCGCTGTACCAATCACCTTCCCCACGACCCATTTGGCATGGATGGATGAGTGGACTATTGACATTATGAACCTCTGCGCACCTAAAATTAAAAAACAAAACAAAACAAAACAAAACACTCAAAGCTACACAGTGTTAGGGCAGCCTTGCCCCTTTCCCCTATCTATCTAACAAACCAATGGTTCTGCCTTTTCTCCTGAAGTCTGCCTTTCTCCACTGTAACACAGGCAGATCTTGAGCTGGGAAATCCTTATACATTAGCCTCCCGTGAGTTGGGCTGGAGGGATGGCTAAGCGCTAGTTGCTATTCCAGAGGGCCTGGATTCAGTTCCCAGCACCCACATAGTGGCTCAAAACCTCTGTAGCAGCAGTTCCGGGGGACCCTCCAAAATTACAAACAGGCTGGTGCCACAAACACTCCATTTAAACTTCTAGCATTGTGGATAGCTAGGGCTATGCCCGTGTTCAGAAATCATTTTTGCTACCTTTCCAGAATAGTCAGGTCAGAGAAACTTAACAGGATTTTATAGTGTTTTCAAAGTAGTAGATGAATCTCACTAACGCTCAGATTTCCTTTTGGGGAAGTTAGGAACATCATGCTCACAAGGGTTTTCAGAAGCTACTGCAGTGTGCAAACACACCAACACACTGGTCACATTGGAGTCTGTCTCTCCAAATGAGGCAGGAGACAGAGGGGAAGTAAGCAGTTAAGGCACCAGTCAGGGCGTCTCTGACCTAATCTGGAAAACTCCCTTGCTGCGGATCACAGATGCTCTACAGATCAAAGCTCCGCTTCTTACAGGTGCCTCACGGACCACCAGATGACAAGTCGCCTTATTTACTCTTTCCCCACTATTCTTTGTGCTGTAACTATTTAGAAACACCTCGTCCTTGCCACTTGAATG